CCACTAATAAGTGCCTTTTCCGAAACCTATACGAGACACTCAAAAGCTTTATCAATACGGAAGGAAGTCGGTGTTGTTTTCCAGACGCTCAGGTAAACGAGTGGATTCCAGTTGAAAGCACATTTCGAATTAGATTCGTGCGCTTAGAACATGCCACTTATCACATTTATATTCTTCCACAGTGCAACTTTGGCGCAAAGGGCGTGTGTGGTGCAGTGGTCGGAGGCGCCCTGCAACACATACGTGGAATTGATCCCTGCGCCGATGACCCACCAAGTCTTCCACCCCTCCGATGTCGGCAAATTGGTACCAGACTTGTCTGAGAGGGTGGCAGGACTGATTTAATACATCGGTAGACCACTGCGAGTCATTGTAAAGGCCGGATATGCATTCAATCACCTCCGAACTATGCTTAGGGAAATCGAATACATGGTGCATCCCTCAGGGATTGATCAACGCCGAGAGCTTTATCATTCTTTTTATAATGCAACTATTTATCTGGACACTTAAGCTACGCAGTATATCAACTTTTTCTCTCACGTCCGACTTTCTATTAACCTCGGCATTGACTGAGTAATTCTTTCTACTTCCGTTCAGCAAACACGAGGTGTTATTTTATTTCTTTATTTACGTACAAGCTGACGTTTCGGCGGATTTCACCTTCCTCTATTGGGCCGAACATTTCCATAACCAAACAAAGAAAACGCTAAACTAAGGTTTCAATCACATTGAACACAGTTTTGCACACTCACCGTAGTGCTGAGATATTTGCAAAACTCCTGACCGCAGGTGTCTGCGGTCGGGAAAGAACGCGCTACTGACCTTTCCGGGGAGTAAGGCGTTTACCACCACACCATGCTGGTCTTTCGTTTCCCCTGTCTCTCAGGTAGTTCTATCGATCACTTGCCATCAACAATCAACCGTCAACAGGATTGATCTTGGGAGCCCAAATCAGCATTGAACCCAGTTAAACTGAGACTGTAATTGAAATCACGATGTTTACTTTTTGTTTGCTGTCAAGTACAATTTTTCATGGCACGGTATTAGACGAAATACAACCACAACGATGCTGAGATATTTGCAAAACTCCTGACCGCAGGTGTCTGCGATCGGGAACGAACGCGCTGTTACCCTTTCAGGGGCTAACTCGTTCACCACCACACCACGTGGAGTGGATCCTTCGTTACGCCTGTCTCTCAGCTAGGTTTCTATCGACCAGTGCCATCAGCATCACTCGTCAACGGAACTGATGTCATGCCCGTGTCTTATCTTATCATAATACCCTGGCGTGAAAATTGTAGTAGGGAGCAAATAAAAAGTAGACATTCTCTGTACTATCTGTATGACTAGTATTCCCACTGATTACCGAGTAACTCGACGTGCCATCAGTAATCTTTTCATTCATCACTTCCACGTGAAACAGCTATACTGTGGAGTCCACTCTCTCTCTCTCTCTGTGTGTATGGTAGAGGTGTTACACTTTTGCATATGCGGTTTAAATAAACACACCCAGTGACGATAGCCGCATAGTCGGGAATACTTGGTGCATCTACAAGTATCATCTAAGGGATAAACGGCGACGAGAACGATTTTCCATGTGTTCTGAGACAGGTGCTCTCCGGTATGGACTCCGTGCCTCTGCTGTGCCAGGATGATGTTTAATTTCTGCAATGGAAATAAATATATCCATGCATTTGTACCTGCAACGGATGCACGAACAAATGAGTGCCTGGCACAGCTCAAAATACTAATCTCAAATGTTAACATCAGTCAGCTGCTACTATCAGACATTCGTCTGTTCGGTTCGTATTTGGACTGTTTCCTCAAATCGTCAGGAAAAAAAATGTCTAGTATCAGAGAAGAACACCGTTCCACATCACTGCCTTTGACACGACGCAGCGAGCAGCTAAATCGCGAGGACGACCACCCGTGTATCATCTATTCGGATTAATATGTCCTTGAAGACGAAGGCGTCGAAATATTAGCCGAATGAATATTTCGTGCCAACCACTTGTTTGCTTAATAATGGAATAAACAATCCGGACTGTTCAACCGTTTCGTTGAATGTAAAATACCAGCGTCACCAAAAAATTTTCGACGGAACGTTCATGTGCGTTTTTGGAAATTCAAATTGGTCTATTCAGATACGAACTATATTGGGCTGTGTTAGAGAACAGATCACCCATACCACCCATAATCTTGAAACAGTCGAAATACTCGAGTACACATCAATAAATTACATTCATCGATGTCACGCATTAAAGCTGCTCAGTAAGAGAGTGCACTTGCATGAGGGCATAGAAAGTTGGTCAAAGTAACGGAAGCTGGTAAAATCATTCAGAAAGCCCACTGAGCCGCCAATTACGAGATCAATACGGTCGCACACCTATGTCCAGACCGAACAGTTACAGTATCCAAAAACGCACTGGTGAAATAATTAACGATTACAGCCGCGATCTCTTCAATAGCGACGTCCTTTTACACTCATACAAGATACAGGAGGATGAATATGTTGTCTGACCGGTTCTCCTTCCCAAAATCCGCCATACCATTTCGTCGGTGAGGGATCGAGCATCTGGCCCGTACAGGATGAGATTTAAATACCTGAGATTTAATAGTCCTCATAAACACACTGACTCGACTCCCCACAGGTTACCTGTTAGAATGTAAGGTTCCTATTCAATGGAAGACCAGCAAGACTGTGTTATTGTTTAAGAAGAATGACGTTCACGATATCGGAAACTACCGCACGCACTGCTGGCTGTCTGTCGTGTATCTCACTCGTGTTCACTCGAAGTTCCACATTCCAACGGTGCTGTAACGAATTGGTTAGCGGCGAAGTGTAGCGGTTCAGATTGATGTAGAATATTAGCCACGCGGGTCTTTTAGCTGCTCTAGTTGATCCACCAGCCTCAAACTTGGGTAAGTAAACCTTTAATACATAAATACAACACAAATTATATAATAGTAACGATAGAGAAGTAATAGTAGAGGAATGAGACAAGTCAGAGCTCTGAGGTGCTAACTGTAGTGAAGTGAGGCTAACAATGATGCAATGGCATTCAAACATTATTACACCATTAATACAATATTAACAATAATAGTGACTATGATTTAGAATGAGTTGAGGTGATTGAGGATGATTGAGGATGTGGTTGTGAGGAGAGGATTATCCGCGCTACCGATCGGGGGTAAGGTAAGTGATGGCATGTCTCCGCCGTCGAAGGCACCTGGCTTATTTCGGCTGCGGGAGCCGCGAGCGTATGCAACCGCGGTTAATCTGCATTGTTGATCCTGGACTGCAATAGACTGTATCTAACTGCCTGAAACATCAAACGTCAAAGCTTCGTTGTTTCGCAAGGAAGTAGTAAACTGTTCCATGGTTAAGTCTCTTTCGGATAAGCCATCGTCGCTATGCTACTGAAGTCAAACCTGAATCGCTATTGTGCCTGAAACATTGAACATAATTGATCGAGAAGATTAGAAAAGGTTACATTTCGGTGTTTGATGTGCGAGTGCGAGGCGGCCATATTTGGACTTCAAATATTATTATTTAGATAGATAGAGAACTTTTCAATGGAGAAGTTCTCTATAGGTGCCCCCTCCAGTGGATTCGAATCAATGCGACTACAGACAACCACATCGGGACGATGGTCAGCTGTGGACCACCAAATCGGAACAAGGTGGCTCTGAAGAAGGCGAATACGCCGAAATACTAGCCCAATAAGAGTTTTTATATCAAATTCGTGTTAGTTCAGTCGTATAAAAAATCACTGAAACTTGTTGGTGTCCATATTACCGCCTTCAAATAAGGCCCGACACTTCCAGATACTACAAAAGAACTCCACGAAAAGGAGGGAAACCACCAAAAGAAGGAAGAAATAAACATAAGATCCCTGGTGAAAACACAGGGTTGGTAAAAGTGCAAAATGATAAGATTCGTCATTTTAAATAAAGTGCACACATAATTATGATTTTAGGAATTAATATGGGTCCTTTCGTTAGTGTTTTTCTAAGAAAAAAAAACTTTTATTCATCTATACAACAACCAATGAGATTTCGACCGTCTTGGAGCGTGAAAGATGTCGATAGATTTCTGCAGTCAAAGAAACTGGTCGTAGTTCATATCAAAGAATTTGCACTTCACTAGACAGATCCGCATTTAATCAGAGGTACATGAGTTGTAAAGAGTCTGAGAGAGTAATATCATTACAGCAGAAACTAGGGCTGTTTCACTAGCGGTTTCGACTGAACTGTAATTTTGTATCATGGCAAAGTGGTGTAACTTCGTTGCTACCCTACCTATTAAATCATCGAAACAAGTAGAGGCAACATTCTTCATAGTGCTTAACTTGAAATGGTGCATGAAGCTTATGGTAGACAGCCTCGTAGTAGCGCTAAATATGTAAGATTATCTACCTTCTTGAAGTCTCAGTATTGGAATATGGATTAACGTTGAATTCACCCATAATTACTATGGTAACCGTCTTAACTTGTCAATTCTACAATAAAACTAACGGTTTCATAAAAAAAGTCATTTTTTAGTCGTAAAAAAATATTTGTCATTATGTTCAACTTTTGCAGAACAGCGTGCATAAAAGTCCCATCATTTCCTCTTTGGACCCGCCCAAGAGCTCCCTTTGCACTTTTATGAGTCTAGAATGAACACTTTTTCGTATGACAGCGAGTTCAGACATAACAGCTTCTTGTCTATCTGTACATTTCAATGACTGCATACTGCTAAATTCTTGCAAAAAACGAGAACCTCTGAAAGCAAGTTACGCTCGCCTTATGACAACTGTAAGAGATTTGTAAAAAGTTGAATACATAACATACTACATGAGTTAAAAATTGAAGGAAAAGGGCAAGGCCGCACTGTTGAAAATTCTGTGCTGGTACATAGCTAAATACATGGTGTAAGGAGAACCAAAGTACGAATGCAATCACAGTAACCGATTGGGATGGCAGACCAGAAAGCCAACGACTATCACCTTGCTCGCTTACGACCAGACATCTGCCTGATATCTTCGTTGTCGTTCGAGATCCTTGAGTAACTTGGACGCCTCCTCCTCTGATTTACAACCGGTTTCGCGGAAAATGCGCTGAAGAGTATTTTGCACGTCTCGGGCCATATTACGAGCGTCTCTAAAGTACCGACTGATCATTGCCAAATCGATCCTCTAGCCAAATTACACGTAAAACCAAAAATGCTTCGAAATAAAATCCAAAAGAGGACGGAAACATTTTCAAAGGCAAAAAACAACTATAATAATAACAAACCCGCATACGTATATATGGGCACCAGCCTCCACAGCGCTCCATACCTTCTCACGACTTTCCCAAAGTCTATTCTGAAGAACTTTTTCTAATGAAATAAAATGAAACAGGTAATGCTAACAAACAGACAAGTCGGAACCTTAGAAATTCTCAACAAAATCGGCACATATGTAACAGTAATCACTGCGACCAGTGAATCAGAAATCGCAATGTTTTAACTTTTATTTACTGTCTATCCTTTTTTAATGGTAGTGTATTATGTGAAGTGCAACCACAACCATGTTGAGATGTGAGCAAAACTCGGAACCGCGGTGAGTTATCATTACTGAGAGCTCACGTATTATCCACTACACCAACCGAGGCCCTTGCTTTATCTTTCTCTCACCCAGTTTTTTAGTCTAACGGTGCTATTAGAAATCACCCTTCAACGAGAATGATCTGGGGAGCATAAATTCAAACTGAATGAAGCGCATTTGAAGTTCCTTGTTGTTGAATCAGAAATCTCACAAAAAGTTACATGTTTAGTCATACAGAGTTATAGAGCATAATGGAAACAAAAAGAAAACAAGACTTGTTAGATGGATTCCGTTACCCACTTGTACGTAGATTTTATGCTCCTGTGCGCGTGAAAACGCGCAATATAAGTCTGTAATAACACCGTCTTCGACCATTTCTTCAATCTCTTCTCTGTAGATATAGTCGTGATCTGGATGGCGACATCCATAATACAACATCATCGCACCCACCTCCTTGCCTAAAATACGGATAATCTAATGATGGATCGAAGTTTATATACTTACATCTGAATGATTGGATGCCCGCCTTTACTGTTTTTGGGAACCTCAACAAAATTTCCACTTTTTCGGAGTTTTGTTGGTTTACCTATTGTGGTCCCCTACAGTCCCGAGGTCAGCCTAGCCAAAGTCCGCTCCAGGTCGCCACCACCACAGGCAGTCGCCGCCTTTGTGGATTAGAGGGATATTTGCCACAGTACGACTAGCTTGATACCAGGACAGTAACTGATCCTGGTATTAGTTCAATCCTAGCCGGGTTTCTTTATAGGAACGCAAAACTCCTTCTCATCATGGGAGACCCTGCTGGGAGATGAATCCATCCGCTGTATGTAGCAGCCCAAACCGTTCTACGTCGAACAATGTCTGAGCGGTGCACAATGCACCCGACTTCATCCTGGTCTACATAATCACTGGTGGTAGCCTACTGATGTATCAAGACAGTGTATTATCCTCATAGACAAGTATCAATTTAGTATCAATCTATCAATTCTTTTAGTATTATAGTAGTATTATAAATATCAATTTATTTAGCGCGTAGAGATGGACAGTAGCTAGGTTAGGTTTTATGCGGGATCGAACCGACAAGCATGTGTGTATTACAAGAGAAGTCCAACCACTTCATCAAATATTTTTTCCATTTATTTACGAAAATTCAGCTTAGAACTGCAATTTGCAATTACATATATATATATATATATATATCTAAATGGTTTACCATTTCACCACTGCAGAGAGTGTTCCCAGATGTCGCACTCAGGATCTAGGAGCGGGCGAGACATTTAAATATATTAGAAGAAATATTTGAAAAACCTAGCAGCATACCCTGATCTTTTTGGAACTTCCGCTCTTGAATGAAAGCTCTGAACGGCGCGAAGCCTGTTCCCGGTCCGATCATTATCACCGGCGTTGTAGTACGATGAGGAAGGCGCATTTGTGATTTACGCACAAACACTGGTGTACGGTCATTGATTTCCTAAAAATTGGATTATCACATGCAAGTTCGATCATGCTGTTTTCCAACTGCGGCTGCTCCTAATTAGATTAAGCCTCTTCACGGTCAAAATCTACCTCTTTAAATTCTCACTACACAGAAGCATTACTGCTGTGATAGCACTTGGATCCGCCGTCTGCTCCTACTTTATACTTGGTATGGCTTCCTTCATTTTCGCACAGTTATAAGGTTGGATTGAAAACAGTGGCCGATTTTGAGGGATAATTTGTAAAACTTATAACTTGACTCAAATAAAACTCTGATAATTAAAGCAATAATTTTATTTATTCCATCAAAAGTGATACATGTAGTCTTGGAAGGAAATAATACTTCCTAAGGAATTTCAACACAGCTTGGTTGTTGAACACCTTCTTAGCAAGCACTTTCTGACTTGCGTGGTAGTTGGTTGGAGAGAATCTGGTGAATAAGTTGGGTAAGACAGAATTTCCTAACTCAATTCGTTTAACTTCTGCAGCCTTAGTTAGTATTCGCCAAGATTCAAAACGCTGTAGTAGACAAATCTATGCGCTAAGAAACGTCGTCACAAACACCTTTGGTGAAAATTCTATATTGAGAAAGGTTCACGAGCTCACCTTGGAACAAACACCGAGCTACAAGTTGCAGGTGGTCATATACAAAATTCACTTTCATAATGCGTCATAATGTGATTCAAAAATTGGATTATTCGTGTCGCGCAAGAAGAGGGAAGGGCTGGCTTCATAACAACGACCTCAGTGGTTTTCGTCCTATTCATATTTCAGCTTTCCACCTTTTCAATGTCCTCCAAATGATAAAGTATTGTTGATCATTGTTCTCTTCTGCAACTTCAGGAGTAAATTCCCAAGTAAGCTTCGATTATCACCTTCAGATGGTTGTTGTCAATACCTGTTGGGTGCTCGCATCTCCTTCATCAGGACTCGTAACTGCGCGATGAAGCACGCTGGACATTTGGGAATGTTTCCATGGCCAATCCTTCGGAAACATTGGATCGATTCTATCCTTGTCAATCCTCTGTGTTTAGTTGCAGGAGTTTTACAGTAAGAAGGGAAAAATAAAACGAATTCAAGAGCTATATTGGGAGTTGTAAGGAGTAAGAGTTACAAAATGGAAGTAAAAACTCACCTTTCCCAACAAATAGTTCGTGCATACACCTTTCACGAGGCGGTCTCCTATTGTATATCGAGTAACAATGCAACAGATAGCAATACGGTTCTCTTGGTGTTTAGGCGACGACGCTATACTGTAGTATCGAGCCTAAAACATTGTAGTGAACGCTGTAGATGACATATCATCACCAAAAAATTTTAAGGATGACCAATTGAAGTTGAAACAAAACAAGCAAGGATATCCAGATAGGTGTTTATCTTTTTGAGAAATACTACTTTAGCTTCCCATGCTTTTTATAATTCCTAGTAAGCTATCAGGATCCACCACCGTCCTGGTATCAAACTAGTCGCATAGTGACAAATCTCTCTCTGATCCACAAGGAAGGCCACTGCCTGTGGTGGTGACAACCTGGAGCAGACTTCGGCTGCGCTGAACTACGAGCTCCATGAAACCACAATGGCTATACCAGCAATACTCCGAAGAAACGGAAATTATGCTGGTGCCAGCAGAACCAGTGAAGACGGGCTATCCAAGTATCCAAGTATCCAGGTAAGTAAGCTATCAAAGAAGAGGAATTTAATTATCTATCCATTTTTGGTTGGCTGCTCTCCCTCTAGATTAGTATAACGCGCCACTTCGATCCATTTTCTCTCGTATTCTTCCAACAAGTGCCGAAACAATATGTCGAATAACATTTGTACCACTTTGAATAAGAATTATTGAACAAGAACAATTGAACTTATACCTTATATTGCGTAAAAGTAATTTCCAAAAAACAAAATGAGACAGAAAAATTTCGCGGGTCGGTAAGAAACAATGGGTCTACCTTGTTTTGTCTACTTTTTCTGAATAATTATAACAGGGATTCAAATGAACGTAGATATGTTCAAACTCAAACAATCCACACATTTGTCATATGCAAACCCCTTTGCTCGTTGTTTAGATGCAGTTTTCCATGACTCCACATTGTTCATCCAAAACTTGACTTGCAAGTAGTAAAATTTTTAATAAACCCTATGGTGAACTTCAAAAATGCAGGAAAATAAGAGCAAATAAAAATCAGCGCCATCTGTCACTGTCCATTCGCTTCAGATCTCTACCTAACGTATAGATAGATTACTGGAATGTGGTCCGAGTGTCCGTACAAGACCAAAAAAAACTACCATTTATGAGCGACAAATATTTGAAAAAGAAACCTGAAGACGTGGAAGTAGCTCCAGAAGATATTCAATCGGTGGTTTACATGTTGGATGAGCACGAAGCACGTCGATAATTGACCTACGCTCCTTCACAATATATTGAGAATATTCCTTCTGAAATCGACTACCATAAAAGACCGTCATGTGCAAATTCTAGATGACAACTACTATTGAACTTTGTTTCTCTGAAATGCTTAGACTTACCAATCCCGACTCACTGGCAGTAGACAACAGCTGAAGATACGCCTTTTCCTGATTATCCGAGCAATACTCGCTGATTGCCTGTACGAAAAATAGTTCTAAGGAACGGACAAAACTAATCGAATGATATAAAGGAGTCTTAGGAATTCAAGGAATTCAAAAAAAAATTCAATTCTTATTCAAGAATTGCTAATATTTGATAACACATTCACAGTTATTAATGCGAAGTGCGTCATCCACTTTCTTAAATCGCTAAAGGACCTGCAATCACAAATCTTATGGTCAACAGCACTATTTCCATTCGATAGGTATTCTGCTGATTAGCCAAAATTTATCCCTTTAGAGTCTCGAATTGAGAGTCGTGTCAGGTGTCTATAGGTCGTCACCGCCACAGTCAATCGTTAACACTTGGAGATACCTGATAGGGTTGCCATCGACGAGCAAGATGGCAACGATTCCTCCAGAATTCTCCTTCACCTCATACCTGGGGTTCAGGGTTCAGAGTAAAAATGCTGAACATCTTTTTAATATGAGTTATCCGATAAAAGCACAAACTCGATGTTGCAAACATTTTAATACTCAAAGGCATCTGGTCATGGCGAGGCAGTAGACAATCAAATGGGATGTTTACCACAATAAAAAACAGCAAGTTTCACGGCTTTTAGGTTGCAAATTCTGAAAGCATGAATGGACAGGTCCACAAAATTCTTCAAATTTGATGACATATACTAACAACATTTTTCACACCACTCCTTCCAACGGTCCCATCGTGGCTGAAAGCTGGGTATTCGGCTGCGATATACAATGGGGGAATTCGTCTCTCCGGCAGGGCCTCCCAACCTGAGGAGTCCAGCGTTTTCATCAGGAAGCCTAGCTAAGAGTAAACCAATACTAGGAACCACCATCGTCCTGGTATGAAACTAGTCGCCTGGTTGCAAATCCGAAAAAACGGAAATTATGCTGGGGCCGGCACAAGCAGTGAAGACGGGCCATCCAAGTATCCAAGTAAGAATTCCACATCACTTTGACATCTAATTTTGGAAGAACTACTTTGGAAGAAATGTCTTCTCTTAGGAAATTCCACATAGTCCATTAAAGAAGCTAAGAATAACTAAACCTTGTACCTTAAGCACGTGACTCTTCAAAGGAGCACAGATGTCAACATAGTGTGTTAATGCAGTACGATATGTGCACGGACAAGGAAACGGATTACGCTTTGACGACTCTTCATCAGTATTGATAAGACGGAATGCCTAAACTCAATTAGATGCTTCCTTATGAGAACGTAATTCAATAAAAAAATGTCAAACAAACGAAAGAATATTGCCACCCGCAGAAGAGAAAAAACAAACGACCTGCTCAGGATCGAAGCCCAACAATGAGATCATTGTCTGCACGAGCTCTGGATCATTAGTGGGAAAAACGGCAAGATGATCGCCGGCTTCGTAACGTATTCTTGACCCTGAAGTAGTTAGAAAAGAAAATTCCTTATCTGATTTGCAATTCCGTTAACTACCTTTAGTAGTTTCAGTAGTGTGATTCCCAAGACTGACTTTGTACTCGGCATTAACAAATAATTAGTTGATTTTTTGATAATCACACATGAGGTTGCAGTCAACTGAATACCTCAATTACCTCAACCGAAACACCACGATAGCAAGATTTCAACTGCAATGAAAACAAAACAGCTTCTATATTCACCGTTTTCTACGAGTCCTCCACTGAGTCGCCCATATAGAGGCCAGCCGCACTGAGTTCAGATGAATGGATAATGTTCTCTTTACGTTAAAGTACTAATCTGAAATATTACGCGACATCACGCGTAATAATGAGGCATTCCTCCTTTTGGCCCATTTTCGGATTCTCGGAAATCATTCATAACGCCTCGAGGGGGCCTGCAAAATTAGATTTCGGTAGATCCTCCAAACGGTTTACCACCTCATCGTGGCTGGGAAGTGTTCCTGGGTGTAGGACTGCGATGTACAGCGGGGGATTCATCCCTGGCAAGGTCTCCCAAGCTGAGTAGTCCGGCACTTCCACCAGTAAGCCTATCTAAGAGTAAACCAATACCAGGATCCACCACCGCCCTGGTATTAAAGTCGCATGGTGGCAAATCTCTCTCTGATACACAAGAGCTGTGACTGCCTGTGGTGGTGAAGACCTGCGGTAGACTTTGGCCAGGTTGACCTCGGGATTCCAGGAACCACAATGGCTTAGTCAGCAAATCTCCAGAAAATGGAGATTATGCTGGAGCCCGTACAACCAGTGAGGACGGGCCATTCAAGTGTCAAGTGTCACGAATTAGATTTCTGCGCGAGAATGGCGGTTCTACTTCGAAACATTTCCCGTTATGTGCCTGCATCCTATGCGCGCCTAGTGGAGTAATTTGCTTGCTTTTACGCATACCGTCTAGGTATTCCCTTATACGAATACGGAGTGGTCCAGTCGTTTCGTAAATATACTCGTTCCCACGGGCTTTACAAGAGATGAGGTACATCCTGGCCGATCTCATGCAATCATTCTCTCTACCGTTAGGGCAAACCATGCAGTTTTGATTTGTGACCGTGTATGCACAATGTAAAACTGAAAAATATGCCCTAACGGTGATTGCCCTAATTCAAGTATGGTGAACCCGATCTCTCGTAAAGCATGTGGGAACGAATATGTTGGTAAGAAGATTACACCACTCTGTGACCGTATAAAAGAATATATGGATGGTAAGAGTAAAGGTAGACTTAATACTCCACTAAGCGCGCATAGGAGAGACAGATAACGGGGAAGATTTTAAACTAGAAGTCACCATCGTCGTATAGGAACCTAAGCCAACAGCGGGTAAAATCCCTGGAACATTCTGGATAAATCCTAAGAATTCAGGAATGAAATGCAGAGAGAAATGCCTTTTTCTCATGCGTGATCTCACACAATATCTTAGATTGATATTTTAACGTAAGAAGTGCTCGTAATCGATGTATGTCAGCTCTGAACGCTTGAATTCTACGTCTAGGTATGGTCGTTTTTCTGTTGGAATTGTGGTATATGGCTGACTAGATTGCAGTTAACTCGACCTTTCCAGGCTCTGAAGAGTGCGAAACCTTCCGAAACGTTAACTATTGCTAACGAAGAGTATAATAACCTCATGTGTGCTTATCAAGAAAATATCAGTGATATTTTCATCAACCCCTGTAGAACGTCGGAACTGTCGAATAGGTTTCGAGTAACGCGAACAGTGTCAGATTTCTCGAAGAAAGCAATTCATTATATTTGCTCCTGGTGACAGTGTACCCGCACGTATTTCACCAGGCCCTTCAATGCAAACTTTGTACAGTCATAGATTCTCCAGGAGTAATCATGCACTCATCTGTTGGAAGCGATCCTCAAGTATGCCCGTGTACTCCCCTACCACAAGAGGCCTTTAACCATATCAGTGTTCAGGTTATAAACCACATATAGTTAGACACATCTAGGTAGACATGCACGAATATGATTACATGGATACGAAAAGCAGAATTCAATCTGACTCGGAGAAAAGACAGAAAGAGAGAGAGGGAGAGAGAGAGAGAGAGCTCGTCTTCTCTATCCACCTGCGTCAGCAGCCACGTACAGGATCGCTTTAAGTCCACATTTTACCTCCTATCCGCTATCAAAAGTCAGGTCTGGGATACCTCACAGAAAGGAAGTCCATATGAATAGCACAATGTAATAATTGAGCGTGCTCTGATTTGCAATAATTAAGCAGAAATGGTACCTTCTACTGCAAATTCAATATGTCGGCAGCTCCGCTCACTATTAGTCGTATGTAGCTCGCGATTGACGGCAACTGTCGCTGGGAACGGATTCTTTTGATCGAAAGGAGGTCGAAGACGTTCAAACGCACCTAGACGACCATACTCGCCCTTTAAAGAACATCAGGTTATAGATAAGAAAACAAGTTAAAGCTATACGTTAGCGCAAGGTTACTACCTTGAATAAAGTAACATTCGCATTGTTGTCAAGAAGTTCCAGTCTGTACTGACGAAGCGTCTCAGCGTCTGTATTCAGCTCCCAGCCGAACTGATGTGCGACTGTGGGTAGAAACGCTTCACGCCATCTGAAGAAAAGTATTACATTTCTGCATATCACTAGGGATGCTACTACAATAACATAGCTATTCTAAATGTTATACCTTTTTATTTTCTGCCTACTATAATTTCGCGGCAGGGTACTAAGCGAAAACAACCACAACGTTGCTGAGATATTTGCAAAACTCTAGACCGCAGGTGTCTATGGTGGGGAACGAACGCGCTATTGTCCCGCATGGTGTGGTGGTAAACGCGTTACTCCCCGGAAAGGAGAGTAGCGCGTTCGTTCCCCACCATAGACACCTGCGGTCCAGAGTTTTGCAAATATCTCAGCAACGTTATAGCTATTCTACTTAGGATAAAGTAACTTGGATATATAGGATGCATGCGAGGATAAATATACAAGATTAATAAATATGATCAAAAGATTCTGCTTGCTACATCATCTTTAAATGCTCCTGCTACCTCGTGAGATAGTCGACCTCCCATAACTTCACTTTGGTATTTATATTCGACCCATAACAACAGTTCATATCTCCAACACATTAAGAGGAAGATGACGTCTAGATATTCTCCATGACTATCTATTACTACTTGGATTCTTGGATAGCTTGCCTTCACTCGTATTACCGACCGATGCACATTTTCCACTTGTTTCTTTCTCACAAAATTGTCGTTCACGTTGGTGGTTTGTTTCGAACATGGTGATGTTCGTTAGGCCCATTCTGTATCTCTGAACTTTTCCGATATTCGTGCCGATGGTTGACGTTAGCCACGAACACGTCCGCCCATAGCTTGAGTGGTCACCCAAGAGGACGCTTGCATTCTCATGAAGTCCACTCCACTGGTCTTTTCGTCCATCTGTGGTCCGTTGGTCTCATTATGTGACTGGCTCATCTGTCCTTCGTTATAAATGTGTATTCTTCTGGTTCTTGAAGATGGAATAGAACTGTATATTGCTTTGCCATCAATGTATATCTTCTTGATTCTTGAAGGTAGGATAGGGTCCGAAGATCTGAGCTGCACATTCCAGCTATACGTTGTGAGTGCCGATTAAAGCGCAAAAATCATCATTTAAGCGCTCTGTGGGCACCGTCCTGCGATCTTGACATAGTTGAAGTTTCAGGCTACGTCGGTCTTGCAGAAGAGAGCGCTAGAGAGACAGTCGAGTCGAAAAGGTCAGCGCGGAGGTACGTCACCTTTTCTTCGTCGATGGTTTCTTTGACAGAGCTAAGTGCGCTTCATCCATGCTGTTCTACTTCTTCTATCTAGTGCCTCCTTCATGTTGCTCTTCATGTTCACATCATGTCTCATTTGTTTGCCTTCGTACTACGGGTTCTTCATAAAGTAGGTCTTCCTCCAATTTATGCGCCGTCCAATCCTGCTTTGTTGAGCTAATTGAACATCATCTCTACTTTACTGGTATCCCTCGGAAACAGGACGACGTTATAAGCAAAACCAAGATTTGACAGAAATTCCCTATGCCGTTCTTTCCTTAACCGAGTGACTCCATTATCTACTGTAGTTTGTCGGAAGTCCCATCTGCCTCTTTTTCTAACTGTGATCGATACGAACTTTGGCTGGTTTTTGTTGGAACTTCAGAAAAATACAGCTTTTCTATCGGCGCCTTGCTGTCTCTGCAGAAAAGGGATTCGACAAGGCGACTCTGTCTTGCTAAAGCTTTTGTCCCCACTACCGCTCTATAACCGTGGCACAGCCTGGATGCAGACCATGCAGCAAAATATCTTTTCGGATCCTACTTCCTCAGCTGGCTGTGCTCAACTAGTCGTGCATCATCTAAAGTGTTTGATATGCGCGATAGAATAGTCTTCGTGAACATTTTGTAGAAAACATTGAACAAGCATATTGGACATTAGTTACGAGGTTATCTTCGGTCAACTTTCTTGGATAAGATGACTGTGTGCGAGATACTACGCTAGTCTGGTAATTTCTATTTCTGAAGATAACATATTATGCGAGCTGCGAGAAGTATATTTAATTTGTTGCCCACAGCTCGAAGGAAGTCAGCGACGATATCGGGTCTTAGAGCTGTGCCTCGCTTCACGCTTTGTATCGCAATTCGAACCTCAAAGGGTATGATACCGGGCGGTTATACAAACTTTGCGTTATCAATTCTATATCATGGCTGGATTTGTTATTAGTCCCATTTCCGTTCATCAGGACGGATAGCGGAACACTATAGTTTCACAGATCCCGACGACAGTTTTTCAGACTAGGTCGTATTTAATCTGCTTTCAATAACTTCTTCCACTAATACCGATTTAAATCCTCCTAAAAAGACCTTCAACAGCTGGTATTTATTATCAACTGCCCTAAGTTTGTTGCAGTAGGATCAGGCTTTAGTGTTGTCCTTTCGGGTAACTCGTTAGTGGTAATGGAGATGCGGTATGAAGCTCTTTTCCAGATTAAAACTGATTCGAATCTTCATACGGAGAAGATGATCGGATCCAGTACAGAATCCAGGCACCACTGATGTGTCAAGTGGAAACCATCTTCTGTTCGTTAGAATATGGTCGCCCTCTGCATGAGTTTTGCCGTTAGGTGACCCTCGTTTCAATCGGCTACTTTCTGTGTTTTGTTGGTGAGCAAACACGTGGTTGTTATTACAACATCTATTTATTTATAATCGTTCGGCGTTTTCGCCTTCTTCAAAACCTGGAAAGGTCAATTTGACATGCAATCTCCTTGGCCGAACACCCTCATAACCTCAGCAGATGAAACTCAGTGCATAATTTTTCATTCACATAATAAACAGCTTCTTTTAAACCGTAAAGAGTCCCTTATAATCACGCGTGACCTCGCACCATACCACACTGATTTTTTTGACCTGCAAAATCCTTGCCCATGTAGGACACTGTGCGTTTGGTCTCCAACAAATAACTGGAGGGCTTAATTGGATACTTGGATGGCCCATCTTCACCAATATGTGGACCCCAGCATAATTTCCATTAATTTGGAGTTTTGCTGGCTTAGCCATTGCGGTTCCCTGCAGTCCCGAGGTCAACCTGGCCAAAGTCTGCCCCAGGTCCTCACCACGACAGGCGGTCGCAGTCCTTGTGGATCAGAGGGAGGTTTGCCATCATGCGACTAGTTTGATAAGAGGACCGTGGTGGATCTTGGAATTGGTTGAGTCTGAACCAGGCCTTCTGATGGAAATGCCGGACTCCTCCGCAGCTTGGGAGACTGCTGGAGGATGCATCTCTCGCTGTACAGCAGTTGCTAGTGGAAATTAGGTCTTCGAGTCAGTTCTCGGCACCTTATGATCACTAGCTTTGAGTAGGATGCTCGACTTCGTAGAAGTTGCCACGCAGGACTTTTGCGTACTTGTCGCAGAGCAATATCTCAAACTTGGGTAATTAAACCGTTTATAACAATAATAATTCAAAAATAACGAAATATAAACATTGGTACAATACAGACTGCAATATTGTATCATAATCAATAAATGAAGGTAATGCGGGTTAGTATCTTTGCTATAGGTACAGAGCTACATGACAGCAATGTTAGTATACAACAGTTACCACATACAACAAGAGAGAACACTTTGGATTCACTACAAGGCGCATTACACATGATGAACAGGGGGCGAATACGGTATTGACGCACAGGGCTCTTTAAATATCTTCTGGAGCAGGCGGTGTTTCGGCACAGGTCCAGAACCTTTACCGAAAACACCCATCAGCTTACGTCTCCAGCTCCCCTGTGATCAGATAACTGAGGACGGTTTGCCGAACAGCTTCAAGACCCCTTTGTGTTGCCGTACCCGTGATGGTTTGGGACAGATGCAACACACAAAGGGTTCCGATTGTATGGAAAGAGTGTGTTTCACAAAGGATGTTTACGACAACCAAGGTTTCTCACAACGAAGTGAAAACGTTTACATGCTGCAAGATCGCAAAGCGATGCTATAGGCCACGAATATGGTTGCCACAGATCTACGATATGATGAATGAATAGTAACTATTCTAGCAATAGTTGCTATACGCTGTACATCGCAGCCTGACACCCAGGAACACCTTCCAGTAACGATGAGGCGGTAAACTGTTGGGAGGTTCATGACAATCAACAACATTCATAATGAATCATAATTCTAGTAGATCTCAGTGACCGAAAAAATCTCCAACTAGAGAATATTGTAAGTGAATCGAAATGAAATTTGAAAATTTTCCCTAATAAAAAATGTTAGACTCGTTCCAAAGTCTTACGTAGGTATTAATAACTGCTTGCTTACGTCTCATTTTCAATTTTGTAAAAAGGTAATATGATAAATCCCTAAAAAAACATTTCTTGACGAAATAAAACAATTGCAGTGAAGTAGGATGAAACGCAATAACTTGGTTACTAATCTCGTCGGGAATATCGCACGAGTACAAGGCAACCGCAATTCCCACCTACATCCACTTATGCAAATCACGGGTTATAAGGGAGTTTCAACTCAGTACATAAACATCGTTAGTCAGCCATATAGCAAATTCAGAATTTGAATTCAGCTCTTTTATATGGACAATACCTCAATGTAGAGAACGGTGTTCGGCAAGTCGATACAATACTAAGGCATCCAAAGTAAAGTGCGTAGAGATGTCATATCTTAACCCATTCCGCTTTGACGCCGTTTTTTTTTTTCGTGGTTAGTTCAGTAGAATGCCAGCAATTTTTCGTCGGCTGCGGTCTTTCTGGTTTTCTTGATAGTGAAAAATAATTGTTCAATAGTTAAAGTGCTTTAGGAGCCCTGATACATGGAAGAATTATATAAGAGAATTTCCTCTACTGTTCTATGGATACGAATGATATGTATGCTACTACTTACTGTGTGTTATTATGGTCTATTATGCAAATACATTATTGTCAGCACTTCGAAGTACTTCGCAGTTTATGCTGAGTTCACCACTTTCATATACACACATTCTACGCAATTGAAATTACGTAATAATATACTGCTAGTCAAATCACCGCTGAACGAAGTTCTAAAAAAGGTTTCTGTAAGCCATTACAGGTAAAGAGTGGTTTCTTCGGTCTCATGCCTCCTATTCTGATCTATTTTCGATTTTCAACTAGCCACATATACACAGTGCAGTGCAAAAAAAAGCTCTGAAACCCACTAAATTGTGTGTGGACACTACAGTGCGCATACGCTCCTCTGGTTGGGTTGAAACATCTTCGGACACTATAGTGTCCATACGGGGCGTAATGGATTAACGACAAGGTTAATGACAAATGTTAGGCATTAGCAATCAGTGTATGCTCCATGGATGGTCAGGGGAACAATGCAAACACCACAGTCTCGAAAGCCAAACACTATGAAGAGTTTAAACATAAAATAGGTTGAACGCAAGTCAAACCAGCTGATGATCAGCAAGAAGACTTTTCGTCAGTAATATATCTTTCTCCAGCCTATGCCTTTTTTATAGTGTAAATGATCAAAACGAAAAAACGTTATAGCTACATAAAAAATATATTGAGAATATCCTTGTAGTTAACCTCATGAAGTCTTCTTCGAGATTCGCATCGTCATCTCCTAGTCCTAAGGGGAATACTCGTTCTGCTCCTAGTTCTTCGAGTCTCTTGTCGATGAGCTTCCCTACCGCATTGAAATGCTCATATGTCTTGTTGCCGAGTCCAAACACCTTAAGACATAATTGCTTATACTGAAACTCTTAAACAAAAGATACCAGTTAAGATTTTTATCGATTACAAAACGTTGAGATAAATGTGAGCATGTTTCGAGTCGAAATTATCCACACTTTCCCCCATGATCTGTCATCTAACCACAGGGTGAACGAGTCGATGAAACGGACAATGGACAAGTGTACGACAAAGCTTAAACCACCGACATTTCGAGACCCTTCCCGGATGATAAAGGTCTCATTATTTACAACATCAAATAGAGATAAAAATCAAGAGGCGGGGGCATTACCACCATCTCCTTTCCCTAAAACGTTTTTTAGACAGCAGGACCCTAACGATGGAGTTGACATAAAATTCCGCGTGTTTTCGGACGGCGTTCTCAAGACCCTTGATCACTACCGCGATAGAAAGTTTATCTCTAACCTTACAGCCGCACAAAAATGTGGCATGCGGGAAATTAGAGAATTAATAAACTCGAAAACAATAAGATTGTCTGTTAGTGATAAGGGGGGAGAGTTCGTAGTTATCCCTCGCCAGCTGGATGCTGAGATAACAGAGGAACATCCTAGTGATCCTACCCTCTGTCGCCCATCCTCTGAAAAGGAATATAAAAGTCAATACCGAAAGCTAAACAATCAATGGGTCAGTGTGGCAAAAGCTGCGGGTTTAAAATCATCGGTTATTTCGCACTTTAAAATCGATAGACCAACATGCCCCGTCCTATACCTATTTATTAAAACACATAAGTTGGTATCACCTGATGATCATGCGTCAACCAATCCGTCACCATTTAGGGTTAGACCGATCATCAGCTGTGTAGACGGGCCAACGGATAGAATAACCCGGTTTTTAAGCCTGATACTTACCCAGTTGCTTAACCACATTCCAGCTCACCTCACAAACACCCAAATGTTCCTAGAACGTCTACGTAACGCGTCTCCTAATAACGCGTACGTGATGGAGTCTTTCGACGTTACCGCACTGTACACCAAAGTATCGAATGACTCCGCAATGCAAGCCATCTTCGAACTTCTTGTTGAACATGAAGGAAGAATAAATATGCATGGCTTGTCCATCCAGCAGCTAATGGCTCTCTTAAAGGAGTGCCTAAACTGCTCGATCTTCAGATGATCTGGGAAATATTTCGCGCAAATAAGGGGGTTGGCAATGGGACAGCGATTGGCACGAAGCCTGGCCATTGTATTTATGTCTAAGATAGAAGCCCCTGTTCTCGATCTCCGGCCACTACTCTACTGCAGATATGTAGATGATTATTTTGTCGTC